CTCCCCCCGTCGGTGCTGTCGCCTCAACTCCACCACCCCTCCTCCCCACCGGAGAATCTCCCGCTCCTCCCCCGCTGCACCCTGCGGCCGTCATCACGGCTACCGCTTATATTCTATCTGCGCTACAAAGCCACACTGCAGCCTCTTCCCTAACTCCTCCACTACCTCCTGTCACCGCTGAGTCAGCCCCGCCGTCAGCAGCGGGTCACACCTCGGCCCCTGAGCCGACACAGACCACTGCTGCCTCGAACATCTCGTTGTTTCATTTTTCTCCACCTCCCGTTTTGCCGCGACCCGCAGACGTTCCAGCCTCCGCTGCCCGGTCCACCCCGGCCCCCTCAGCTCCTTCTGCTGTTTCTCTCTGGCCACGCGGTCCCGAGCCGCAGCAGGTCCCGGTTCTGCCTGCCACAAGGGCCGCCACCACTGACCCTGGACCGGAACTTACACAAACGCAGTGTCAGCCACACGTTTCCACACGGTCACAAAACACCGCGCTACTCCCGCCAGCGTCTGGTCCTGTGTATTCCCCCGATCCTCTACCAGACCCGGCTGTAATATCACCAAGAACTGCCGCTTCGCTGTCAGATGCCCCCGCGCATTATAACCGCGAACAACTGAAACCTGCTTCCCTGCCCTCGGCCGTGCCGCAGCTCCCAGAGGCTTATCCGCAAGTGCAGCATCCCGTTCTGCCCCCTGACCGTCCCCTATCGCAGCTACTGTCAGCCGACACTACAACTACAAGGCCGCCGCTACACCTGGCTACACAAAAGGTACAAAAGGAAGGGGGAATTTCTAACACAGTATCTGCATTAATAAATACAGGAGAGACAGTGAACTATTCTATGCATGCAACAGCTAATCCCCTGACTTTACCACTTCAAAGTGAGATTGTAAAATTCGAAGCTCCACTACACATAAATTCCCAAGAATGTTATGATGATAGCCAACTTACAAACTGGCTGGAAGTCAAAAGACAAATTTGCAAAGAAGAAAACATAAACCCCCTAGCAATGCCGGTGTTATTTAGTCAGCAGGCGGGCGGTCCAAGAACATGGACAGCTATTCCACCCCAGGAGATAAAAGAACTGCGAAAAGCGATAAAGGACAGTGGCATTTGCTCTCCATATTTTAAACAACTGCTGAAAAGTACACTAGAAGAGCATACTCTCACGCCCAATGACTGCAAACATCTTGCTAGCATCACCCTTACAGATTCGCAATTTATGCTATGGGAATTGAAATGGAAGAGACTACTCAGAAATGTATTGGACAATTATAGACGTAGTAATGATCCAGATTTGCGTGCTCTCACCCTGTCAAAGCTCACAGGTGAACCTCCAGATGACCGAAATGAAAATCAGATAAACTTGCCTAGGGTAGCATTAGATGACATCAAAAAAATGGCATGGCGAGCCTTCTTGCAAATTCAGCCTGCCGGAACTTTTGAAAAAGCTTATAACCTTATTAGCCAAGAAGCCTCTGGGCCATTCACAACATTTGTGGATCGTATAATTCAAGCTGCTGAACGCCAGTGTGGTGATGATATAGCCCGTCCAATTATGATACGGGACATTATCGAAAATAATGCTAATGCCGAATGTAAGAAGGTGATCAAAGCCCTGGGAAAAGAAAAGCCAACAGTGCCAGAAATGATAGACGCTTGTAACAAAATAAGAAGTCCACAACATGTAGCAGCAATTCAAGCAACTGAATTAGGGAGAACCTTAGGGGAGAAGCTGGAAAAAGCTCTTTTAGCACAAACATCACAAGCTGCAGTAATCGCGGCTCAAGCAGAGGCACGAGATCAAAAGCTCACTAAAACCCTACTGCACATCGAAGTCTGCTGAAACCTCCACACCAGCCAGTGACCCTGCAAAAAAGAGCCAAGAAGCAGACGCCCAAGCCTGATCTACGCAGAATCTTCAAGAAGAAAGTGATCTACCAGAAGCAGCTCAAGAAAAAAAAAAATGGAGTTCTGTCGTTTACCCAAGTGCATGTTGTTTTTATCTTTTTGTTTTAATCAGTATAGTGATAATTGTAGTTTTAATAGCTATACCTTGTATACTCCAATGCATGCAGAAACTAATGAGTAGAACCGTATCTAATATCTTAGTTATTCATAGACAAAACGGGGGAGATGTTGGGAAGGTAGAATTAGAAAGAAATTATAAATATGATTTTGTAGCCAGAAAGGCTAAGGAAGAAATACAAATGATAGCACGGTTTGAATAATTCAAAGAAACCAACCGGGCTGGTATGCCAGAACACATTCTTTCCTGCAATAAAACCAAGCTGAGGCCCCTCATCCCAGCCTTATAAGGAAAGGTCTGAAGGACCCTGAGATAACTAAAAATATGCAAAAATAGCGATTTCTATAGGTTGTACACAAATGTTACTATATTAGTATACTTAGAAAGATTGGTTAGAAAAGGAATAGAATATTCAAAGGTATAGGTTATATAAGTAGTGGTATAGAAGAGCTCGGTCTCTTTTTTTCTCTTGCTTGCTCTTTTTTTCCGTCTCTCTTGCGCTCTCTCTCTTGCCCTCTCTTGCTCTCTCTCTCTACCTCTCTACCCCACGCCCTGAAATAAACTTCTAACACTTAACTCGATTATAGAGGTCTTTGCCGTGTCTCTGACCGTCCCCAGAAAGCGTCTCTTACAGATGCACTCATAACTGCCCCCGTACTAACTTTACTGGATACCAATAAGAATTTCAATTATTCGTAGATGTGAATAGACAAGCAGCACAAGGAGTTCTGACCCAAGAGTGGGCAGAAAAAAGAAGCCCATAAGGTTTCTCTCAAAATTTTTAGACCCGGTTAGTCGGGGTTGGCCTACTTGTTTGCAAGCAATTGTGGCAGTGGCTTTATTAGTAAGAGAAGAAAAAAAAAAAAAGGGGTAACTTTCAGAGCTCCCTTGATAGTCTACATGATGTAAGAAATATCTTACAACAAAAAGCGGAAAAGTGGTTGACTGATTTGAGGCTTCTGAAATATGAAGCCATCTTAATCAGCTCGCCTAGTTTAGAATTAAGAACCACTACTGCGCAGAATCCTGCGCAGTTCCTGTTTGGGGAACCAACAGAGAAACTATTACACAATTGCATTGAAACTGTGGAATTGCAAACTAAAGTTAAACCAGATTTAGAAAATCAGGAGTTAGAAAAAGGAGAAAAGTAGTTTATAGAAAGATCCTCGAAAGTTGTTGAGAGAAAAAGAAAGTCAGGATATGCTAGAGTAAATGGCATATCAGGAAGCATTGTGAAATCAGGCCCCCTGAAAGCAAGCTGGTCTGCACAAGCTTGCGAGCTTTATGCTCTCCTGAGAGCCCTCCAGGGGTTGAAAAGAAAGAGGGGGATCATCTATACAAATTCGCGGTATGCTTTTAAGGTAGTACATACTTTTAAGAAAATTTGAGAAAAAGAAGTCTGATAAATACGAAAAAAAAAAGAGTTAATCCATAGGGAAATCATTCGACAAATTCTACAGGCTGTCAGAGAACCAAAGGAAATATCAGTTGTCCATGTAAAAGGACACCAAACAGGATGGCAGTTCCACACCCGAAGTAACAACCTGGCAGACAAAGAGGAAAAACGAGCGGCTTTGTTAACCAGTCTGCAGAAAAGAGGACTGATTCCCCAAAGCACAACACTGGGATTTGCCATACACCAAATGCAGCCTGGGGATAAAGTCCTGATCAAAGCTTAGAAAGAGCTCCCCCTCAACCCTCACTGGGAAGGACCGTTTCTCGTCCTCCTGACCACAGACACAGCTGTCCGGACTGCAGAAAAGAACTGGACACACTCACCTCGAGTGAAAAAAGTAACGGATTACAACTCCTCCGAGGGGAAAGTCACCACACCTCCGAGAGAGCTGAAAATCAAACGCCGGCGTCATCACAAATGACAAGTGACGACCAGATAAGTTGTATTAATCCTGATTGTAATTGTTTTCCATTTATCCACTTCGAGTGTGCTTATTGTAAACAGATTTGGGTAGCCCACTGTTTAAGAGGGTACAAACCTAAAGGATTGTGCACAAAGCGTCTAGAGAAAGAACAGGAGGAGACTAGCCGTTTCTTAACACTTGCCACCCGGGCGGGGTCCTTGGAACTAAACTCTCCTGAGTGGTTCCTATTGTTCCAAAAGGGGTTAAGAGGCCAGTTAGATTCCAAAGCCAAGGCTTTAGAAATCGAATGCCGAAAAACAATTAAAGTTTAAAGTACTGTGTAGGACAGACCCAACTAAATCGTCTCGGTGGGCTACTTTCAAAAGAAGGTACGCCTTAAG